TTTCTATTAAAGGGAAGGTTAAAACCATTCCCCGGAAATCTAGGGAAAGCAGGAGGAGGTGGGGGTGGGGGAAGAAGGCTTTTGCAGGGGCTAAGCTCTCAGTAAATGGGTATTTAACCTTTGGCCAATGATGGTAAGGCTCTTTCAGTTCTATTAGGCCAACAGCAAGCTTCTATAATTAAATAATAATAATAAAAAATCTGTTTAGAGCCATGCCAAACATGTCCTGGGAATTAAAGCATATGGCAAGAATTGGGGGGAAGAAGACTTTCCATATGCTAATGACCATTGATGTCTGAAATAAATTAGATCCATTAGAGTTTATGCTCAATAAAAGTAAGACTTTAAGCACTCCAAAGTTAGTGACTCGAGACCAATTTTTGGCTCTGAAATTCAATCTGTCTACTTATTAATTCTTAGTGAGACTCCTGAGCAGACAGGAGATGCAAAATTATAATAGTGTGCTGAATCAGAATTTTAAAGTACTGTGCGTTTCTTTCCTTTCCCTTTTTTCTTTTTAAATTAAACCATTTTTCATGTATGTGTTTTTTTTAAACTTTCCCTTCATTAATTTGATTTTGTTCCCATCTTTTTTTTTTCTTTTAAAGGTTTCATTTACCCTATTTCAACTGAACAGAGAACCCAGAATGAATATGGATTTTCTTGTAAGTGTTGTTTGATTTTATGTTCTTGGATTCTAATTTCCTGATCCAAGATTTATTTTTAGATTACTCATATGTGCATAAGGAAGAAGAGGTTCTGTATTCAGAAAGCCTTGCTCAGTGCTTGCTTCGATAACATTATGTGGCCCACTGTATTAGAGAAACTAGTGAAGATATGTGAAATCAGAGTCCAAGAAAGCAATAGAAACAAAAACCAGACAGGTGATATGCAAAATTCTACCATAAGAAGGGGACTTGGAAGCATAAAACAATTGCAAAGATTTGGCTTGATCATGAAGGAAGACAAAGCAGAAGGATAGAATGGCTGCTTGGCTGATATTATTTCTACTCTTGTTTGAGTGACTGACACCTTCAGTAAGATAAATAGCACCATTGTCAGAATGCGGCCTTTAGTTCCTTTAGCATAAAGTACATTGAGCCTGATCATTTCCTATTGGGCAGCTCCCTGTTTTTACCCATGCCATCTGGGGACCTAAAGAAAAAAGAGAACAAAAACTTTAAAATATAATAACATTTTAAAAAAAATGTTCTCTGGATGCAGAAAGTATGCCAAGTGACTTAATAAAAAAAAATAAGATACTAATACATTTACATACCCTGATCTTAGCCTCTTTTTTTAAAAAAAAACTTAGGATAGGATTTCTTTTCTCTGCACTGAAAGTCTGCATCCAATTTCCTGTCACATACTCAAGCCTTTGGGAAAGCGACGGAGGGAGAGGCATTAAGTATTACACTGGGATTAGTGAAGGAGATGTGTTACAAGCAGATAGTGCAAAGCCTCACATGCTGGCCTGTTTCCCACAGGAGGACTGTAGTCCTGTCTTGCTTTTAAAGATTTTGTAGCATTCTATTCTGTACTGAATCAGAGAAGGGGATACAGCTAAGTGAATAAGCTGGGAGATATGGAGTGGAAATCTCACCTCAGCCGTTAATTTAGTAAACAAGCCACCCTTTCTCAGCTTAAACACCAGCTCCATCTCTAATGCAGAGATTCTAGTATTGCCCTACTCGGTGGAGCTCTTATGAGACTCAGTTGGTGAATGGTTTGCCATCCATCTGTTTTGGAGTTCAACTCTCAGAAGATCCAGCCAGCATGGCCGATCTTTAGAGATTCCGAGAGTTTTAGGCCCAACTTGTGGAGGCCCAGACTTTGGTGTGTTTGTTCCTTTTGCTTTGTGTACTTCTACCCTGGCTACCTGTAAACAAACAAAAGCAAACAGAGTAAATTTCAGTGGACTTAAAATAATTGCAACACCAAACTTCATAAAACCACACCTACTGAGTGAAAATAGTAGAGTAATAAAACATCACAACACAGAGAGAGAGAGAGAGACAGACAGACAGACACAGATATAGACACAGACACACAGAGACACAGACACACACAGATACAGACACAGACACACACAAAGACACACACGAGTTAGGTTGCTGAGAAGGCATTAAAATAATAAGAATATTCCAGACTTTGGGGACATTAGCCAAAATGAGCCTCTTCAGAAGATGAGGCACCTGAGTAACAGTTTTTAACAATAAAATTAATGCACGAGGCAAATACAGAATGGCAACAGTAGTTCACTTTATTGCATGTCTTCCTTGTTTCATCCTCCATCTCAGTGTTTATATCCAGTAAGCTATTCAAAGCATGCTGACATTGTATGTTGTACTGCCATACTTGTTCTTAAATACAGTGGGGTCTTGACTTGAGAACTTAATCCATATTGGAAGGCGGTTCTCAAGTCAAAAAGTCTGTAAGTCAAGTCTCCATTGACCTACAGTGCATTGAAAACCGATTAATCCCGTAACAGGCCGTTTTTGTTCCATTTTGGTTTTTTTCTGGTCTGTAAGTCAAATCTCAGTCTGCAAGTCAAACCTAAATTTTGCGGCCAGAGAAGTCTGTAACTCAAAAAGTCTGTAAGTTAAGCCATCCGTAAGTCAAGGGTCCACTGTATAGTCTGTGATGGGGATTGACTGACTTTTTCCCATCTCAGTCCACCTGCAAAAGAGCTTGCTTATGTGAGCCTTTCTTATTTCCTTGGGCAATCGCCAGAGGTCCTCACTGTAATTGAAGCAGTGAGGAGGGATGATACAAATTTTCCTAAAACCAGTACCCCACATTCCATTCTGCAGTTAAACCGGAGGGGGGGAGAGGTCTGGGATCAAAAAACTGGTGTCAGTGGAAAGCATTTTTCCACCCTAATTGTGCATCGGGACAGTTTTGTGGAGATGGTTACAGTTGAAGGGGAAGTAAATGCAAACTCTTCCTTTTTCAGCTGTGCTCCCTCCCCAGTTGCTTCCTCCAGAATTGCAATTTTGCTTGAAAGCTGTTTTAGCAGGAAAGTAACCATCACCCCTAGATCTAGACAGGATGCATGAAGTTCATAAGCAAATGTGATTTTTATTTCATTTCAATGGAGGTACCAGTTCCATGCTTGCACACGTATATCTTGTTGCAGAGAGCGCACCTTTCCATAAGACGCACCAATTTTTTAGGAGAAGAAAACAGGAAAATATACTCTGTTTTCTTCGCTCCATAAGATGCACAGACTTTCCACCCCCCTGTTTTGTGGGAAAAAACTGCGTCTTATGGTGCGAAAAATATGGTATTCTATTTGCATAGAACTGAAGAAACCCTTGTGCATAAATTAGTTGCAATTAGATTAGGCCCATTGAATCCATGCAATTTACAGGGTTTGACTTATGAACTCCCCACTGAATCCATAAGATGCACAGACTTTCCACCCCCCTGTTTTGTGGGAAAAAACTGCGTCTTATGGTGCGAAAAATATGGTATTCTATTTGCATAGAACTGAAGAAACCCTTTTGCATAAATTAGTTGCAATTAGATTACGCCCATTGAATCCATGGAATTTAGAGGGTTTGACTTATGAACTCACCACTGATTCAGTGGGCCTATTCTAGCTTTGACTTATTGTGGGATTTTGGCCAGTGAATATCTAAATCAGTGGTTCCAAAACTTGGGTCCCCAGATGTTCTGAAACTGCAACTCCCATTAGCCCTTGCCAGCACAGCTACTACAGAAGGCTTCTGGGAGCTGCAGTCCAAGAACACCTGGGGTCTCAAGACTGGGAATCACTGATCTAGGTGGAACTTTCAGGAACTGTCAACACACTATTATATTGCTTAAATCATCACACAAGATGGAACATTTCTCCATTGAATTATCTCTCTTTACAATTATGTAAATACTGTATCATATTCAGGAGCTGCCCATCCTTTTCAATAGTATGCTTAGTTTTAAGTTGCTTACTTTTAAAAAGCTAAATCATTCATTATAGGGAAAAGAACAAAAAAGGAGGGTTTTATGATCAGATGCTCTGTTGAGTTAGAACTGTTCATTTCACAGTCAAGTGCTATTTTATGTATATATAACTAACGTTGCCTTGCTCGTCTGATTATAAACAATCTGCTTTCATACAAGAAGGATACATTTCTAGATATGGAATTAGAAAATAGTTGTGAGAGAAATATATTATTCTACTGAAATGCTCTGTTCCAGAGCTTTTGGAACAGATTTAAAATTAACTCATATTGAACCTCTGTAAGAGATGCTAGTAACTTAGATCAGTGGATCTCAGTCTTGGATCCCCGGGTGTTCTTGGACTGCATCTTCCAGAAGCCTTCACCACTAGCTTCTGGGTGTTGTAGTCCAAGGACCTCTGGGGACTCAAGATAGGGTTGCAGATTCCACTAGCTATGCTGGCAAGGGCTTCTGGGTGTTGTAGTCCAAGGACCTTTGGGGACTCAAGATAGGGTTGCATATTTAGATGTACAGTGGCGCCTTGCATTACAATGTTAATTCGTTCCAGCGAAATCACTGTAGAACGAAAACATCGTAAAGCGATTTTTAAAAGCCCATAGAAACGCATTAAAACCCGATTAATGCATTCCTATGGGCTTGAAACTCACTGTCCAGAGAAGATCCTCCATAGCGCGGCAATTTTCACTGCCTGTGTAGCGAGGAATCTGTCCCAAAATAGCAGGAGGCCATTTTTTTTACCCAGTGGCCATTTTGAAACCGCCGATCAGCTCTGCGAAAATCATCATTTTGCGATGATCGATTACCGAAGCAGGGAACCGATCATCACAAAGTGAAAAAACCCCATAGGAAACATCGTTTTGTGATCGCTTTTGCGATTGCAAAAACTTCGTCGTTATGTGATTTCGTCATAAAACGAAGCGCTCGTCTTGCGAGGCACCACTGTATATTTATTAAATGTATATTTCTGGAAGTTTCTGAACTCGCTATTAATGTTTTAAACTTTTGTACCCCCAACCCAAACCCTTTTATTCCAGCTGCTCCTGATTCAGATGATGTTGCTCTCTACGTTGGAATTGTGATTGCCGTAATTGTGTGCCTGGCTATATCTGTTATCGTTGCATTGTTTATCTATCGGAAGAACCACCGGGACTTTGAGTCGGATATTATAGACTCCTCAGCACTAAACGGTGGATTTCAGCCTGTTAATATCAAAGCTGCAAGGCAAGGTTAGTTTCTGTTCAGAATGGTCCAAATTAAGGCGTATGACATAAGCAAACAATCCCTAGAGTCATGTAAATTATATTTGCTAAATGTACCTTCCTCAATTTTCTGGGAACATATGCTAAAAGTTAGATAATAAGAGGTATAAATGAGTGGTGAATGAAATAATTTAAATATATGTTATATATATAGAATAACATGGACTTTGACCTTCCTGCCGCTTCCTCTTCATATTCTTTTTTACAAACCCAGTAATATCCCTTCTCTTCTGGATAATCTAGATTGTAACTCCCTTGAACAAGGAGCTCATTCAGTTTTTGTGTTCTGTGTAGAATCTGAAAACTAATTCAATTGGAAATTCACCCTGCACCATCTAGCCCACACCCATAGCTTCTGTTCATTTCACCCTAGTATACGTTTTAATGGCTACACTTAAAAGTTTTAAAGTCAGCTTCCTATGGTTTATTGTGGCTCAGAGGAGTTTTCTAGATAAGAAGACTATGTTACAAGAAACAGTAAGATCCTTTTGCTCACTTCCTGGCTTTATTGAATTTGGTTGGCTGCTATATGGCGTAGAAGAAAGAATGGGAAGACATCAAATACAGTTTACACATAGAAGAGTTTGGCAGTAACAACATAGCAGTAGCATAGTCATATGTAACTAGTTGCTTTTAGGTACAACAAGTAAAACTTAATGATAAGTTTAATGAATAACACATTTATTTTCAAAAGTTGCTTTTTAAAGGAACTTTAAGGCATTTTTAGAGACTGACTGGATTTTTTCAGGTTATCACTCCTTTATCATCAGTCCTAAGTATTGTTCGTTTTTGTCTTCTGTCTTTTTATATTTTTAAAGTGTAGTATCAGAATTGGCCATTAGATGACTGTGGCGTCCACCCTCATGCCCCTTTTGCTTGACCTTCAAGCCTCAGAGCACAGGAAGGCAAACACTCTCCTCTTTAACACTGCTGCCACCAGGTGATCCCTAAATCACCATTACCTCAGAAAGATTCATGTCCACTCTTCAAGTTCTTTTAAATAAAACTTGATTACAGAGGTTGATTCATAAATGTCTTCAGTAGCTAATCACACCTCAGAATTTCCCAAACTACACACTCTAATACTTTCTCTGACTTTTCTCTGCTGCCTCACTCTTACATTTCTCTTACTTACTCAATCTACCCTTTGACTCTCTGACTCCGCCTCCTATAGCATCTCTCTTGGCTCTGCCACTCAGCAGCATTAATATGCATGAATCGTTCCATTACATAGCAAACATGAACCATTACATAATATAACATGAACCACAGACCTAGTAAATAGAGAACGCTACAATGACTCCAGAGAGTATTTCCAATTTTTTATTTCCTCTAGTACTGGCATTAACGTGAGAAGCAATAAATTACTTGAGATAGAGGAGAGAAGCAGATATTCTTGCTGTGACTGGACAGTCACTTGAAGAGCAGGAGAAAAGTAGCATGTGCTGGCTAGTGAGTGGAGGAGCCAGCCAGGGAGGTGGCAGAACATACGACACCTACGATGCTGCACCGAGAACTAGAGACAATATGGTACAGAGTGTTTTGTGCCCATCTCTACACTGAATAGTCACTGGTGAACATTTGGCAAAAATCTGGGCAGCCTAGAAGCCAGTTCTGGTCTGTAGCACTGGCCTGCCTGTTTGAATAACCATTCAACATTTCCTGTTATTAAACATTTCCTGATGTAAACAGATAGAATATTAGATCAAAGAGATCTTCTAAGCCTTCTTTCTGGGCTTTCTACATGTTGCTCCCACCCCTGGAGAATTCAAAAATTCATACACTTCCCTATAGCTTCTAATGGTACATCACAGCAAATTAAAGAACATTTGATTTGACTAATTGTATACACTGACCCATAGGCTAAATCATGTCCATTAATGCATTTGTGACTGTGATAGTTCAGAAGATGAAGGAAACAAAAAAAACGTTAAGACAGAAAATACTTGCTAAAGCTGTGAGGTAAACAACAACAATATACTCTTTTGCAAATTACAGTTTCAACTTGGAAATAGGCATTGTCAGAGTTTTGTCCAATGCAGAAGATTAGCAGAGCTGCAGTTTGCTTGCCAAGGATTCTTTTAAACCGGTGCGGCAAAAGGAATTCAAGAAGATGCCATAGGCAACAATTCAGCCCTGACTAGGAATGCTAAAGTACATGATTTCATAGTTGTTTGCATTTCTCTGTTGTTGTTTTTTCTGTTCCTTTTGATCACACGTTAATACTTTGCAGTCAGCATTTTCCCAAAAATTACGCCAAAGCGGATCTACTCTGCAGAGCACTTGCACTGGGAACTAGTTGTCATGATTAATAGTTAATTGACCAGTATTTTTGCAGCCCAATCCTGATGTGTGTCCCCAATGTTATTCTTGCTTTTCAAACGTTCCAGTCCATCTGTTTCTGCACTGCAGAAACAACATATAAATTGACATAGCAACTGATATACTGTATCAGGAACACTGCAACTTTAGCTAAAAATTAATGCATTGGTGGTGAGGAGGGTTTTATTTTTGGAAACACATTTATAAATACCAAAGTATATTTCAAAAAGACTGGAAAAATTACAGTTTCACACTTTGACATAACATGGGGTTAAATATCTTTGGGCAGTGGTACAGTATTGGACTTCTCAAGTGGAAAGTTTTCAAACCTCTGAGCCTACATTCTGCATTCAAATTCTCTGATACTGTTGTTTACTATCTCTGTGCAATAAAACTTTTAAATTTCTTCAAAACAAGTATTTTAAAAGATCTATCTATCTATCTATCTATCTATCTATAGATAGATAGATAGATAGATAGATAGATAGATAGATAGATAGATAGATAGATAGATAGATAGATAGATAGATAGATAGATAGATAGATAGATAGATAGATAGATAGATAGATAGATGATGGATGGATGGATGGATGGATGGATGGATGGATGGATGGATGGATGGATGGATGGATGGATGGATGGATGGATGGATGGATAGATAGGTGTAATAGGTGTGTCCTGGTAAATATGGTTTGTTTTTGGCAAAAATGTAAAGCTAAAAAAAGCTATATAAAGCAAGTGCTATAGATAGATAGATAGATAGATAGATAGATAGATAGATAGATAGATAGATAGATAGATAGATAGATAGATAGATAGATAGATAGATAGATAGATAGATAGATAGATAGATAGATAGATAGATGTAATAGGTGTGTCCTGGCAAAAATGGTTTTAACATTGGGAAGATAACTCTTTAATTCTTTCTTATTGTTATCTTAAATAAAAGAAAATGTCTCTTCCTTGGTTTTTATTTTTTTAATATTAACAGACTAGCTTTAGTAATATATTCCATTAAAATGGGAGTGGAAATCTGTGGGCTTTCAGATGTTGTGGCCTCACCCCATCAGCTTCAATCAGCCGGGGTAATGACCAGTGATGATGGGAGTTACAGTAAGAAGACATGTAAAGGACCATAGACTTCCTGACACTGCCTTCAAATAAGTATCTTCTTTGGCCTGAAAGAAAAAGAATAAAAAACCTGCAACCAAATCAAAGCCATTATATTCCCCCTTATGACTGTAGCAAGTCTTAACACCTTGGCACTTTCGAAATTAGCCATTACCCATTCTTTTTGTGTCTTACACTCCACAGGTCACTCCGTCAAAGAAGTTTTCTACTGTGATGCAAAAGCACCCACTAGTCCCATGAAGGATGTTTATATATATTTTAGTCATTCTGTGATTACATGTCATTAATTGGTGGGCAGGGGGAAATGGGATTAAGGGAAGTGGAGTGTCCAAAGTTATCACAAGCATCGCAGAATGCTACAGGTGGATGACATTTGACAGGTGAGGCCAGTAGGAAGTAAGAGACACTGTGGCAAGAAAATGTGGTGGTTGAGGGAGAGTGAATTATTAGGAAATGCGATTTAAAAAACTCTGTGTCTCACAGCTTTTGTGCTTCTTGAGTAGAACATGCACTGCTAGTTGAGAACTCTGCACTAGACTCACAGAGAGTTCTTTTTTCTCTACCTTCAGCTGTTCCTTACTGATTTTCCTTGTACTCCAAACCATGTATAAAATCATCAATAATTCACCTTGTGCCCAGTAACTTTCAAATCACACTTTTCTTCTTTTCTTTGGATACAGATCTTCTGGTTGTGCCTCCAGACCTAACATCTGCTGCAGCCATGTACAGGGGGCCTGTCTATGCCTTGCATGATGTCTCTGATAAAATCCCAATGACCAACTCTCCAATTCTTGACCCTCTCCCCAACTTGAAGATAAAAGTCTACAACAATTCGGGTGCGGTCACTCCACAAGATGATCTTTCCGATTTTTCATCCAAACTCTCCCCTCAGATCACTCAATCCCTGCTGGATAATGATGCATTAAATGTAAAAAGCCAGAGTCTTGCACGACAGACAGACCCATCGTGCACTGCTTTTGGCACCTTCAATTCTCTTGGTGGTCATCTGATTGTACCTAATTCAGGTAAATGAAATTGCATATGCACATCAGAGCCCTATTGTGTTACCAGAAATGTGACTTAGAGAAAAACCCTCTATTTTTCCTTAACAAAAAGAAGAATTTAGGTCATTCTTGGGAATCTGTATCTTCTGAGTTTAGATGATAGAGTGGTTTTTCCCCCCATATGGATTAACTCAAGTATTATAGATTTTCTCCCCAAAGGCCTGGCCTTCTTTAGCAGAGAATTGTGATGCTCTGAGTTATTGCCTTCAGATACATCAGACTTAACCAACTTCATTGTGTGAAGTGGGATTCAGAACTCTTGACCTTTTTCCTTTATGTAGCACCAAAAGAAAAGAGAGAGAAAAGAAAGCCCGGCTTCAAGGCAGAATTTCTGCTGTTGCCAGTAGATGGGAAAAGGACAAATTAAATAGAAAATAAATAAGTAGTTCCAGCTGTCAGTTTGCTACAAATAGCATGGTAAGAAAGAAAGCTGTTTAGAATATGAGATATTTCCTTTTCTTGAGCATAAAATACAGGAGAAAGTATCACTCTACATTTGCTCCCTCTCAATATTTTTATTTGTATATTTTAACAGGTACAGCAGTACTGTATTTATCTAAAAGCATAATTTTGGTGGTTTAAATAGTAGACAATATAAGAAACAATTTGTCTTTTTTTAGGACTATAAAAAGGTCCTTTTCATATGATCTAATAGATCCTAGAGTGGTCTGGTAGTCCAGATAGGCGGGGTATAAATCAAATAAATAAATAAATAAATCCATAGTGGGAGAAAGGGAATGACTGGGTTTTGGGGGCAAAGTTCCCAGATGCATAGAAGGAGCCCTCAGCACATACAGCACTTGATGTGCAGGTCTCAGATGTCCTTATGAACATGCATAGATCATGGGGTACTGCCTTAATGCCAGACATATAAACAAGCACATATAGTCTGTTATAGTCACTGAAAGCATGAGAAAAGGACCACTGCATATTGCAGCCTTCTTCAACCTGGCCATCCTAGAATCATAGAATAATTCAGTTGGAAGGGGCCTATAAGGCCATTGAGTCCAACCAGCATGTTATAAGAACTTGGGCCACTGAATGTTATTGGACTACAACTCCCAGAAATCCTTGCTGGCACAGCTAGTGGTAAATTCCCAGGCTTCTGGGAATTTTAGTACAAGAACATTGGGGACCCAAGGTTGGGAGCCACTGTTCTAAAACATAAGGACTATACTTTAGGAGATTATGTCGTGAGATTAATAACTCTGGGTTAAAGTATGCTAACTTAATAATATTCATGGGAAGAAAGTTTGTTATCCCTTCCTCAATCTTGCAACTTCCTGTGTGCCTTGAAAAGACTCTTAGAGAATTCAAACCAGGGCAGCGAATCTTGTTTCGAACGATTGTCTTAATTTTATAACCTTTAGATCCTATTTTATTATTTGTTTATTTATGATATTCTAGCCTAGCATCGTATCCGTAGATCTCAGAGCAAGGTACTTATGTTTTAGATGCTAGTACACCTTTCAGAGTTTACCTTAAATGTTGTGTTTTGTATATTGTGGTCTGTGAAAAATTCCAAACTGCTGACCCCACAGAAGGGAATAAATCTGCTGGACTCCTTCTACCCAAATATTTGTTAATTCACAAGAAAGTAGATATACATGTTACACGACGACCAGATAAGCCAATGTTCTGGGAGGCCTTGCTGTTTCATGGGACAGGGTCCTCTGACATTTTTCTTGAAGTGTTAATTATGAAAGAATTGCCAAGGGAAACAATACCATTACTCCCATTTGGAATAAGAAGTGTAATTATTGGCTTCCTTTTCATTTTTATAACACAAGCAGCAGTGCAGCCATCTGCTTGTTCCTTAAATAAAACAAACTTGAGGGGGGAAATATACCCTCCTTTCCAACTCCTACAATGTGTTGGAGCCAGCACCAAGTCATAAATAGATAGGTATAAGCAGGAGAATGGCTGTAGAATATCCTTGTGTTTTATATTTTTGGATGGGATTTTGATAGGTAGAGTTGTTGCTTCACAGGCTTTTCTCCCCCAAAAGGTCAAACTGCCTTTCTTTTCCTCTCTTTATTTTATCTGCTCCTCTGTCCCTCTCTTGCTGTTGTTTTGCAGGAGTGAGTTTGCTGATTCCTGCCGGGGCCGTTCCCCAGGGGAGAGCCTACGAAATGTATGTGACAGTTCACAGAAAGGAGAACATGAGGTAAAAAAAGAGGCTCTGCTTACGCTGCATTTGCTTTAGTACTAATTGCTAAGAGGAGGCAAACTGTGTTAACGCAACGTTCTGATCAGCATATATATGTATTGATGCAAGGCTGAAAAGCTACTGAGGCCACTTAATGTGTTCAAGCAGAGCCAGAAGGGAAGCTGAGGAAAAACAAAATCTAACCAGAGGCTTCTCCCACATGGTATGTGAGTCTGGTATTAAATCTTGCAGCTAGCAAACCTCTTTGTTTTTGGTGCTTAGGTTTCCTAGCCCATTGATGTATTTAAGTCATAAAAAATAACACAAGAAGAAAATGGCCATGAGGTTACAATATAATGTAATTTAATGGGGTTCATGAATTCTGTACAAATCCCCATCATCACCTCCATCAACTTCTGTACCCAGGAGAGATAGTCACTCTTACCATTGTGTCCGTGTTGAATGTAGCAACTGAAATCCAGTTCACACAACTATGTCATATAAGACTGATGATGCTGTGGCAATTCCACCCACCAACCCAGGTGTGTGTGTGTGTGTGTGGTGCTTATAATAGCAGTTTTGTGTGATATATAGTTGTGGGTGTGTGACTGGTATGCTGTATAGGTTGGATGCTAGAATTGACGGATGATGGGTCATTGGATGCAGACTGAATGCTAATTGGTTCATGTGGTTGCAGTGTGAAGGGATGATATGTGAAGTGACAGACAATTCTTGAGTGGTCAGAAGCGAGGCATCTGTTCAGAGAGTCTGCTGTGTAGAGCCTGTGGGAACAGTTAGTTGTGAGGTTGGATGAAAGAGAATGGTCAGGGATGAAGTATGAATGCATGGCATGGAATTTTTGAAACAACAGTCTCCCAAAATCTGATTAAAGTGTTCAGGTTTTAATCAAGAGATCAAAACACTGACAAGTGTTTTCAAGTTCTTTAGTAAACTCAGACTTCAGCAGATTTTTTTTTGTCCCGTGGAGAAGGCAGGGGAAATGGATAGGCAAGGCTAAGATCTGTGGAAGTTGCAAAAAATTATAAGTGCGATAGTCTGTATCCATTAAGCTCTGCATTGGAAGCCTCTCCAAAACAAAACAAAATAAAAATCCTGAACAACCCAGTCCCATAATCCCTTGTAGGTCCCATGGAACTTAGCTCTACCCAGTCATTTCCCCTGTCTTCCCCACAGAGTGAAAATCGCTGGTGGAGTTTGAATTTACTAACTTAAGAACTTCAAAATACCTGTCAGGATTTTGATTACTTGATCAAAGCCTTGAGAGGTCTGACAGGAATCCCTGCAGGTTTTGGGAGACTATGGTCCATTAATTCTGAAAATCTCATGACTAATGAGTACAGTAAATGAATATGGAATTAGAGTTGTTTTTCTTTTCAGGTTAATTACCTCATAAATTATCTTTCCTTTCTTCCCATATGCCTGTTCATCCCAAATAAATTCATCTGGTTTGATCCAAATACAACTCTTATTATTATTATTTTAAGTATAGATTTACCAGAGCATACTTGGCACTCAGCAATATAGAATATAGCAACACAGAAGCAGAAGAAGAAACCAGAGTTTTCACTAAGTGAAACTTTTCACTCAAGAACAAATCAAAATGGAAACACCAGCTGTTAAAAGAGGCACTGACAATTAATGGGTCAACCCCAAATACTTACAAGGAATTTGGGAGTGGTTGTCCCTAGGCAAGCTTCTGAACCAGCAGCATAGCTAAGGGAATGGCTGGGTTTAGAATGGAGGTGCTAGAGACGTCTGTGTGACTACCTAGCGAGTGTGTATCTCACTAGTGAGGTAGCAGTGAACAGGACACCTCCTAGGAAATGTTGCAGATGTTATTAGCCATTGCAATTTTAGAAAAAATGAAATTACTCCCCACCATACCCCTGAAGGTCCCAAGGCTTCCATGGAATTTGCTTCATCATGCATAATCCTTTGGGGGCTGCTGGATAAGAAGGCAGTCTTTATTTTCCAAAAAATCCCTGCCAGGATTGCTTTCTTGGCTGTGGCAATTTTCAGAAGTTAAAGACTTCCTTCCATCTTGTGCCCCCCTGGAAGGTCTCCCATGATGGAGGGAATTTTATTTACTTGTTCCACTGGGAGCATACGTATTTTCTTCATCTAACCACAGATCCTTGTGTCTTTCCATAAACTTAATTTCTGAGAGGCGTTTGCTCTTCCTAGAGAAAAATATCCTGCATTTTTGAAATGGTTGATTGCAGCAGCTGTCTTACCCATATGATATTTTATCTGCCTCTTCCTCTTAAAAAAGAGAAGAAAAACAAAAGGGATTCACAGAAACCTCTAAAATACACCAACTGGTGTTCTTCTAGGAACATCCTGAGTTCCCGTTTTATGTCCTTTATGGGAAATCATAAATCGCCTCCAACTTGCTAACAAATGTGCCATGTGTATAATAGACCCAAAAGCCCAATCCTGTTTTTTTCCAACTCCCATGCAGGAATTCATCACATTCATCGTGTTCAAAACCTTGTTCTTCATTACATACACTCATATGACCTAAAAAAAAAATATGCTTTTCATAACAGACCAAAAAAAACTGGTGATCCCAGTTTTTCCATATACAACAGAGAATCACTGCACATTCTTCTTCGATCATTGCACTACCAGGGCTTAGTTCTTTAAAAATTGATTTTTTTTCCTAAGCAGCCTTGAATGAAATATATAATCAATAATAATCATGCGCTGTTCAGTCAATTCTGACTTATAGTGGCCCTTTTCAGGGTTTCCCAGGTAGAAGATACTGAGAAGTGGTTTACCGTTCCCTTCTTCTGGGGACATCCTGCAACTGTGCAGCTTGTCCAAGGCCCACACAGGCTGGCTCTATTCATGCATACAACTAGTTGTGAATAACAACATAATTCATTTATGTTGGCCCTAACTAAAATATAGGTACTGTAACTAACATTATGATTATGATGTAACGAAGGATACCTTTAACCACTTTGCAGTTTAACCATTTTAGCGTTTTAGAGACTTTCATATTTAAGAGGATTGACATCACTTCACAATGTGTTTTGTATCATACATAGCATTCTGATGTTTTGCTTTTAAAGTAACTAAAAGTATATATTTTAGTTTCTTGGGAATAAGAAGAAAATGAAAAGGTACTTTTAATGAACTGCAACCCTAAAAGTAATTAACAACATTTTGAGGCTTTGGAATTCTAATTTACTGCTTTTTAAAAATTACCTGTCCAAGCTTTAGGAAGAATTAAGTACGTTGTTGTAAAGCTTTTGTTTCCTGGCTCATTTGTACGCATGGAGTTATGAAGTAAACACAAAAGGTCATAACTGAGACTTCTTAAATGATTAAACTGTGGCACATAATACATAGAGGATGAGCAGATGTGCATGGCGGTAGCAACTAAAACTGAAGCATTTGTTTAAAACACTCCTGCCATTTGATTAGTCATTTGAACCACTGGGAGTTGTTAGCAGAGTTAGTTACATAGCAGCAGAGTCTAGGAGGGGAAATGACAGCAATTTTTAAAAGCAAGGATAAGAACCCATTATATCTCCTAGGTGGAGATTGTTCCATGATTCTGGTCATGAGAACTATATTCCTGGTCACTGTGGCATTTATGACTCTAATCCAGTCAGTACTTAAAACCACAGTAGGTCCATTGAATCAAGTCGATTTAAGTGTTGGCATATCATTCAGCATTTGATTCAACAGGCCTACTCTAGTTGACATTGTTGATCAGATTTATGCCCCTATTTATATATTACTGGGTAGATGTTTGTTGACTGTCACTTTCCCCATAGGAAGAAAAGCAATTTTGAGTGGAACAAAAATGCTTGAGGAGCATATGACTGTGCACAGAACTGTCTTTTTGTTTTTCAGTAAATAGTATAGCAATTAAACTCTTATGGGTATTATCATGTCCAGAGTAAAAGGTAAAGATTCCCCTTGACAAATGTCCAGTCGTGTCCGATTCTAGGGGGCCGTGCTCATCCCCGTTTCCAAGCCAGCGTTTCTCCGTAGACAGTTCCCATGGTCACGTGGCTAGCGCAACTAGACAAGGAACACTGTTACCTTCCCACCGTGGTGGTACCTATTTATCTACTCACATTTTTACATGCTTTCGAACTGTTAGGTTGGCAGGAGCTAGGACAAGCGACGGGAGCTCACTCCATCATGTGGATTAGAACAGCGATGGGCGCTCACTCCATCATGTGAATTAGAACTGCTGTTCTTTTGACCTTGCAGCCCAGAGGCTTTGTGGTTTAATCCACAGTGCCACCAGCATGTTCAGAGTACATGCCCATAAAAGCAACCACAGAAGTGGTGGTAGAAGAAGTTGGTCACATGTTTGCTTGTATGAGTGGATATGCATTTGGACTTCTCTACATTCTAACTCCCATTTCTGCATTTGTCCTGGTATGCTGATGCCCAGCAACCTAAATGACGTTCTTCTGCTATAAGTCTTTAGTCTGCTGTATTTATCAAACGATAGTTAACTGGTGTAAGCAAATAGCATGTGGAAAACTGGTACTCTGAAAATCTCAGATGAGTTGGGGCACAGTTTATAAAAACTGCAATTTTTTTTCCAAAAACAAAATAAATAGAAGTAATCTAATGGTGATGATTTAAGCACTAACTGTGACGTAGAGTTTACAATGAAAATTTTAAAATAGAAAACATTAACCAAATTAAACATTGAAGAATTATTTTTGTTTTCCTCAAAGTCAAACCTACTTAGTTCAATGAGATTTTAGTCTAGGCACATCTGTTTGGAACAGTACCTAATATAAGTATACATAGGATTGTGCTGTGAGCATCAGAGCAAAATGTACCTCACAGTAAACCTACAGTCCCCTGTGCCTCACTTCAGAATATGACAGGGCAACTGTTAATAGCTCGGACCAAAAGCAGAAATGTGCAATTCCTCAGAGCCTTACATGCTGGCTCTGTGTTTTCCCACCTCCTTGTTCCAAAACATTTCTCTCTCAGTCTAATATCTCTAGATTCAT